TGATACAGAAGATCAAATTAAGATGAGGTCTAAAAACAGTCAATTAGGTTTAACAATAAGGAGAGTAACCATTGCTACAGTAAGAACAGTTCATCCCATGAGGTTCTTCTTCAGTGAAGCTGAAAAAGTTAAGTGACCTGTGGGTTTTTTTCTGAACAGAGGAAATAAGCTTCAACATCAAAGGAGTGTTAGCAGTTTCAGGGATTTGATTTCTTGGCTCATCTGAGATGCGAATCACTGTGGTGTCCAAGACATAGCCACACACTTCAGAGAAGTTAAAGCATTTACTTTGTAATTCAAAATCATCTGTGGTTAGTTTAGGTTCTGTCACAGTATGACCTTGATGCTGATCCCCAGTTGTTTCACTTGGAAAATTATAAGCTATCTCTCTTAAGCTGTTTTAAAAATTAAATGAGAAAACCTCAGGGGAAGTTCTGTGTAAAGAACAAAGCACCAGACTGGGGAAAAGGCTCACTCAGTAAAGTGTTTGTTATGCAAGCATAAGGACCTGAGTTTGGAACCCACATAGAAATACAGGTATGGATGTTATCTTAGCTCTGGGGAGGTGGAGACAAAAGGATTCCTAGGGTTGCCTTACCAACCAATCCAGCTGAAAATCAGTGAGATTCACATTCAATTAAAGAGCCTGTCTCAAAACAATACCGTAGAGTGCCACTGAGGAGGACAACCAATGCTGACACATAACCTCACCCCCCCACACACACACATATGAAGTACAGCTGTCAGACAAGCTTAAAATTTCTACAAGGTGATGGGGGGGCGAAGGCAGAGGCAGAGGTGGAGAGACAGAAAGACAGAAAGACAGAAAGGAGGAGAGAGCCGGGCATTGGTGGTGCACACCTTTAATCCCAGCACTCGGGAGGCAGAGGCAGGCAGATCTCTGGGAGTTTGAGGCCAGCCTGATCTACAAAGCAAGTTCCAGTACAGGCTCCAAAGCTACACAGAGAAACTTTGGAGAGAGAGAGAGAGTCAGAGACAGAGACAGAGACAGACACACACACACACACACACACACACACACACAGAGACAGAGACAGAGACAGAGACAGACAGACAGAGAGAGACAGAGACAGAGAGAGAACTAGGCAGGGAGCTGGTCATGGAAGAGACTATTCTTAGTGATATTGACAATCAGATCATTCACTGTATCTGTAGGCTGCCAGTTAAATTAATTATCAAGGTCTTCTAGCTGATAAACTGATACATGTTTTTTGCTTGTTTGAGATAGGATTACTCTGTAGACTTGGCTAACCTGTTAGTGAAAAAGAGGAGGAAAAGGAGGAATGGGGAGTTAGAAGTTTCAGACTGTAGTTTTGGTTTTCTTTTTTACCTTTGGGGGGACTGTGTTTTTCAGTTTTGTTTTTGGGGGACATGGACTTATAGCTAGAACTGGCCTTGAAACCCCAATCCTGCTGCCTCTACCTCAAGAGTGCTGAAATTATAGGTATGTGCTACTACACTAAGGTTAAATATTTGTAGCAATTGGGCATATTGTTTGCTACAGTCTGAAACCAGAAAATTCACAGAGCACTGCAACTGGTTCCAGGCAGTAGAAGAGTGGGAAATACCCAGGACAGAATATGGGGAAAGGAAGATGAAACCTTAGTTATTTCCTTGTGGTAGAGAGACAATGAGTACACAGGCCAGAGTGGGGAGTTAGATGTCAGCACCAGCTCTAACACAAATCACTGTTACAGATCACTGAATTCTCCATCTTTTCATTCATATAATGGTAAGTTAGTTTAAAGGCTCCATGTGTAATTGAATCTCACAATTATTTTCTAAATGGGTTTGGGACCTACACAGCAATTTGGTGGCTGGCACAGTTAAATTTACTACTCTGCCTTCTTTTGAAGAAAGTATTACAAACCTTTTATTAGGTTTTTCTTGTACAAAATATGTTCTTAGGAACAGATCTGGATATCAGAAACCTAATCAATTATAATGCCCGCTGTGGGAAATACTCCAATAGCCACCATGTGGCAGCCATTTTGCCTCACCCTCTACATTGGCATGGTACACGCCTTTAATCCAGCACTCAAGAGGCAGAGGTAGGAGGATCTCTGTGAGTTCAAGTTCAGCATGGTCTACACACTGAGTTCCAGGCCAGCTAGGGCTACACAGAAGAACCCTGTCTCAAAAAAAAAAAAAAAAAAAAAAAAAAAAAAAACTAGAGAGGGGGGAGGGCTGGGGAGGTGAGTCAGTGGTTAAGGGCACTTACTGCTCTCAAGGAAGACCAGGGTTCAGTTCCCAGCATACACATGGCAACCCACAACCTTCTGTAATGCCAGTTCAAGGGTATCTAATGCCAGAAAAGAGACTCTAAGGGTACCAAGCACACATGAAGTGAATATACATACATGCAGGCAAAACATTCATGCACATAAAAATAAAAGTCTTTTTTTTAAAACACAGGAAAGAGAAGTATATATAAATCTTAGCTACATTCCAAAATTGTATCAACAAACCTTTTCTGAAACTTCTGGAAAAAAAATCCTATCAAGAGCCCACTGCTAAGGTAAACCCAGGAGAAGTATTCAAATGTTTGCTGCACTTACTGTCTTAGGAAGCTTGGGCTGAGAAATTTTAAAAAATACCATAAGTTTAAGAGAACTTCAACAACAGACAGAGATTGTGATCTGAAATAAACCCTTTCCTTCCCAAGTTGCTCTTGGTCATGATGTTTTATCAGAGCAGTAGAAATCTAAGACACTTATCATTGGCTACTATGAAAGTAGCACATCTTTAAGTTAGACTGCTTGCTTATAACAAAAATAAACACATACTATAAACTCGTAAAAAACTGAGTTCAAATCTTTATGTATCCTTTACAGAAGCCTTAAATTACTTCAAATCACATGGCCTAAATTAAATTGTCACAATTTCTTTATCTGTAAAGAAAGTATTATGAAACTTAAAATCATTAGTTATAAATAATATATGTGTTACCAAGCATGCATTTGCCAAATGACAATGAAAACTTTTGACATAGTTATTACTATTATCAGTAATAAATATTTAATGTTCTCTATTTAGCCACTCATCTCACTTCAGTCCTCCATTTTCAGTCATGTACAAAAGAAAGATAACTTGAAAATTTGTTTCCTGTACAAAATCTACAGCAGTGGATAAAGTATAACAAGCCTCTTATTCTTAGGCAAAGCAGATATTTAAGAAAGAAAATTAAGTCCTTAGGAATCAAAAAAACAAAGTGGGGGCACCAAACAGACGTTTAAATAATGAGTTGTTAGGCTGCTCTGGTAAAGTGTGTGGGTCTGGCCATCAAAGAAATTGCTTTCACAGACACTAAGGTTAGGAGATAAGGATATGCATGGGCCCTAAGAGGGTTCAAACCCAAATTTTCCTGCACAGAGCTGGGCCTACTCTGGCTAGGCGTTCTTTTTGTGTTGGGGGAATGAACCCAACACCTCTCACATGTTAGGTCTGGCTTTACCAGTGAGTGATAGCCTCTAACCTTAACATACCTTGTAACCAATGTGTATGTTCATAACATTACTTTACCTTGATTTCTATTCAATAATTTTGAAGGCTGTGACATGCAAAATATAAGCTAGATACCCTAAGATACATTTTTTTCATTCAATTCCATTGCTGAACATCCTACCTACCTTTACTTTTAAATAAAAGTAACTATTATCAGGTACTTAATTTTATGCCAGACACTATATGTTGCCTGCTTTACAGTAACCCGTGCTAGTTTCAAACTCATGGAAATCCTCCTGTCTAAGCCTCCTAAGTGCAGGAAATGTAGGTGTGAGCTACCATGTTTGGCTTCAAGGTAAATTTCTTTAGGAATAAGGTTAAGCAGTCAGAGAATTAACAACATTCCAAACAAAAGAGCAACATACACAAAAACAGAAGGAAAACAAAACAAAACAAAAAAAAAACACACTGGGATGTAGGAGTTTTAAAAAAGATCAGTCTTAGCCGGGCGTTGGTGGCGCATGCCTTTAATCCCAGCACTCAGGAGGCAGAGGCAGGCGGATCTCTGTGAGTTCGAGGCCAGCCTGGTCTACAAGAGCTAGTTCCAGGACAGCCTCCAAAAGCCTCGGAGAAACCGTGCCTCGAAAAACCAAAAAAAAAAAAAGACCAGTCTTCAGATTCAATCACTTGGGTTCAATTAACTAATTTTGATTCTGTGGTGTCCACTATGTCTATGATTTTCTCATCTGTGAAATGGTCATAATAAGCCACATTGTATGGGATTTACTTTAAAACAAATGAGGGCTCAGAGAGATGACTCAGCAGTTAAAGGCACTTGTCACAAAGTCTGAGGGCCTAGGTTTGATTCCTGAGAACCCACTTCTCTACTGAAGGAGAGCACCAATTCCACAAAGTTGTCCTCTGACTTTCATGCATGTATCAGAGTGTGGCACCCGCCCGCACACACGCGCGCGCACACACTCACACACACACACACACACACACACACACAGAGTAAAATTCATTTTAAAATAAAAGTAAAATAGGATACTAAAGGTACCTACCACAGGACAGGGCTATGACAGGTGCTCAGTAAGTGTCAACTTCCCTTTTGTTAATAATTCGATAACCTTTAACCAAGAAAGCTACTTCTGCTGGTGGGCATGTTGGCACACACCTTTTAATTCCAGCACTCAGGAATCAGAGGCTGGTAGACCTTCGTCGAGTTCCAGGCCAAGCTGGTCTACATAATGAGTTCCAAGACAGCCAGAGCTAAGAGCTACATAGTGAGACTCTGTCTGTCACCTCTCCTTCCATCACTATGGGACCCTATTAAATACATCTTTCCAGCTTCTCAAGCTTGGCCATGGCTTTTGGAGTCCTGGAGTAAACTGTAAGTCACTCAGCAAACTAGAGCCATTCATGGAGTGAGAAAGTATAATGGAAGTAAAAACAACTAAAATCCACTAAATAAATATAAGAAACTATCAAAGAATAATTGAAAAACAACAACAATCCATTCTTATGCCACTCACCAGTATAGGCCATGTTCTTAGGGTTGCCATAAGGAGCCCCAGGTTGCACGGGGCTGTAAACAGGGTTCATTGTGGAAGACTGAGGATCCTACAGCAAAGACAAATAAAATAGCACTGATTATTAATTGCTAATTCCCTCTGATCATCTTATCCTCTAAGGCCTTGGTTATGCTCAAAGGGAAGCATCATGGTATAGGAAAAAAAAAAAGGACTAAACAGAATATAATACTTTTCCCATTTTACAGATGAAGAACGACAGAGCAGCGAAGTGATATAACTTGTTTAATGTCAACTCAGCCATTTTAGGCTCTCAGTTTAATATTAGTTCCAGTATCCAGAATTCTGATATTAGTGTAGCATTGGCCAAATCACTTTTCCTCTTTGGATGTCAATATCCTAATATTAAATGGATTAGTTGACCTCTGAGGTTCTTTCTATTTCTAATGATGCTAACTCACAAGCTGGAAAATGACATGTTTCTACAGTTTACCAGGCGAACCTGGGTGTCTGGTGGTGATCACTTAGTCTGCTAGAAGGAAGGAACAACAAATGTCTTATTCACCCCTTGTGCCTATAGAGCATAAGATGAAAAGCTACTAACAGCCTGAAAGGAAAAAAGGAGGAATTTTTATTACATCTATTTGTGTATCCATGCACATGTGGAGGTTGGAGAACAACTTGCAGAAACTGGTTCTCTTCTTCCAGTATGTGTGTCCCAGGAACAGAACTCAGGTTCTCTACTTACTGAGTCATCTTATTGGTCCCCAAAGGGAAAATTTGATGCCACTTAACATCTTAATGCAAAAAAGAAACATAGCCAAGACTTCTTGTCAAATTTACTCAAGGAAAAGAAATAAACTTGGAAATTTTGTGTGCAATAATTATCACCTGCACAAGAGCTCTGTTAATTACCTTAATGAAGGACATTCTCCATTTTGATTAATGGAAATCCTGTCATTAAGGCCTATTAACCAGCCAATTTGTCCCATCTTGTTTAGAGGGTCATATTTTACACATAAGCTGACACGTGTTTGAATATATCCAAATATATTTCTTACACTCCATAAAAATCAACCAATTCTCTCCTAACTAGGTTTACATGATAGATGAGCAATTTTTTAGGTCATTAACTTCTGCTGCACCCCAGGATAGGGAACAAGCTAAATGCTGAAGGCAGGCCGTGAACATCTGGTTCGATGACAGTGGCTCTGTAACTAATTTAGTCTGTCCAGGATTTTGGAATAAGAGGTGGAAAATTGATTGGTTCCCAAGGACAGGACGCAAGTATCATCAGATAGGCAAACAGGAAATGCCACCGGCAAATTTCATAATGTAAAACTTTCATAATTCTAACCAATGCAAAGCCCTGGCAAACAATGCCAGGATTAACAGGGTCAATACACTCACCTACAAATTGAAGCTACAACGTGAGGATATATGTTAAAAGAAGGTATGTGTATTTTCAGCTCAACTTAGCAAAACAGCATTTCATAACCAGAGCTGAGAATTAACTCTGATGTTAAATTTACTTGCTAACTGTAAAGATATGCAGACGTAAACAATGTATGATAATGGTGCTGCTGTACAGACAATACAGATGACTACTTGAACCCTTTTCCCTTACTTAGACCTTCTTCTTCTTAACCAGTTTTCTTTCTAACAAGTCAGTGTTGTGTAATACTGTTAAAATGCTGCCATAGCTTGACTGTAGTATCCACTAAAAAGCATGTGTATGAAACTTAATGACCATTGTAACAATAGTAAGAGCGATCTGCTCTCATGAACTGATTTATGCTGTTATACTAGGAGGGGGTTCCTCATAAAAGGGACAGATGTGGTTTCTTGTGCTCTTTCTCCTACCTTCTTGTTTTGTTCGTCTGTTCTTCTACCATGGAATGGCACAGCAAGAAGGCCCTTGCCAGACACCTGAACCTTATTACTGAACTTCCCAATTCCAGACCCGTGAGCACATAAATTTCTTCTTTCTATAAATTATCCAATCTATGGCACTGTTGTAGCAGCATGAAACAGGCTAAAACATGTGCTGGGCAACACAACTGGCCCTACAAACATCTGCACATTCTCCTACTGAGAACACACCCTGTGCTGCTGATTGGACAAAATGTGAAATGTTTTCATAATCAAAGAAACTCATCAGCTGTGAAACAGAGCTCCTGCTGTTCCAAAATGAGAGCCACAGACAGACACAGGAGACCATGACATGGACATAACAAAATCAATTCAATCCCAACCAGTAACTGACAGAGAAGGCTCTAATATTTGGAATAAGCCAAGTGTAATGATGCAAAGCTATAATCCGAACACTGAAAAGGCTAAGGCAGGAGGATTGCTGTGAGTACAAGGCCTGGCTGGGATACACAGTAAGACTCTGTCTCAAAGTAAACAAACAAAAAAAATTAAAATACAACTACTATAGCCATTTCCGGAGAACTGCTGAGATCAGAGTTCCTAGCTTCCAAGGGATTATCCTTTGCAACAGAATCTGTATACTGCTCATGATTTCAGGGACAGACAGAAAATCATCAGCTAAAACCACAAGTTCTATTGTCAAGCAGATTCAGGTTCTACATATCAACCATAGGCAAGTGTCCTAACCATTCTGAGCCTTAGTTTCCTCTAGTCTCAAAATGGAAAACAGCTATATAAAAGGTTGTTTGTTTGTTTTGATTTTTTGAGACAGGATTTTTTTGTGTAATAGCCCTGACTTTCCTGGAACTCACTCTGTAGACTAGGTTGGTCTCCAACTCAGAGATTCACCTGCTTCTGCCTCCCAAATGCTGGAATTAAAGGCATGTGCCACCACTGTCCAGCTAAAAGTAGAATTCACACATAGTAAAATTTACATTTTAGAAATATAGTTATGAGCTGGGCGTTGGTGACGCACTCGGGAGGCAGAGGCAGGCGGATCTCTGTGAGTTTGAGGCCAGCCTGGTCTACAGAGTGAGTTCCAGGACAGCCTCCAAAACAATACAGAGAAACCCTGTCTGGAAAAAAAAAAAAAGAAAGAAAGAAAAGAAATATAGTTATGAGTTGGGTGTTGGTGGCACATGCTTTTAATCCTAGCACTCTGGAGGCAGAATTAGGTGGATCTCTGTGAGTTCAAGGCTAGCCTGGTCTACAGAGTGAGTGCCAGGATAGGCTCCAAAACTACACAAAGGAACCCTATCTCGAAAAACAAAAACATATATATATATATATATAGTTATGAGCCTAAAAATCTATTCAATTATGCAAATAACTACAATACCATAATCAAGATACAAAGACTTTTTTTAATGACTTTTCAACTATATCTTTTTGGCCAATCCTCTGCCTTACTCCAAGTTCCTGACAATAACACATTTATTTTTGTTGCTGTAAAGATTTTCTTTATACATTAGGTATCTATATACACAGTTCTTTATTAAATGGCATTATTCTTATTTAATATGAGAGTAAAAGAACTACTGAGAAAAAAACACAATCATAAAAATTGACCAATAGTACATTTTTTTGAATCTTCATCTTTTTCCAGATGGACAGACTAAAACAGTCCTATCCAATAAAATATCATGTACTGGCAGAAATATTTTAAAGATTTATTTCTTTATTGTGTGTAGTATGTGTACCTGAATGAGTTTATGTGTACCATGTGAATGTAGGTACTCACAGAGGTCAGAGGGCATTGTATCCCCTGGAACTGGAACACTTGTGAGCCGCCGGATGTGGGTGCTGGGAAACAAACCTAGGTCCTCTGAAAGCAGTAAGTGCTCAGAATTGCTAAGTCATCTCTCCAGGCCCAGTATATTAGCTAGGGATGCACTAAAAGGTAGAGCCTTTCATGGCAAGCAGAAGGCTTTGGATTTGAGTTTGTGCATCACATACCCCTCCCACAACCCTGTACTGAGAAGTAGGAAGGGAAAGACCTTATACCTGTGTTGGCTATTAAAGCTCCTGAATGCAGCTTGAGAGGATAAGAGAGTTTTAGTTTTATCTAATAATTAAATGTTGGCATTTATTCAGAAAATACATTTTATGCATATAATTTACAAAAGTAGCATTAGACCATACTTAAAAGGTTCCTTATAGCTGCTGGGTGGTGGTGGCGCACGCCTTTAATCCCAGCACTCGGGAGGCAGAGGCAGGCAGATCTCTGTGAGTTCGAGGCTGGGCTGGACCGATAGCCTCCAAAACAATACAGGGAAACCCTGTCTCGAGAAACCAAAAAAAAAAGAGGGTTCCTTATATGTTTAAGTGTTTTCTACTATATCATTTCATAAACTACAAATAAAAGAATTCAAGAGTTTGAAGGAACCACATTTAGCTAAGTGAACTGATTCCATTTTAGAGATGAAAAATGAGTCTGAGAAACAGCAAATTAACCATACAAAACCACAAAGCAAACAGAGGGTAGAATTTAGAATAGCACCCAAAACAATCAAAGACTTAAGAGCTAAAAAATACAAATCCATTAAGAAGCATTGGGAGGAAGATGGGAGAATACACCTTCATAATCTTTGATTGGCAACAACTGCCCAGATATGTTATAATAGCAAAGGGGGGTGGGATAAAGTGGATTTAAGTAAACAATTTTATTGTATTATTCTTGTTGTTTTGTTTTAAAAGAAGCTACCAGACAGTGTGGTGGCAAACCCCTGTAATCCAAGTAACTCAAGAAACTGAGGCAAGAGGATCTCAAGTTCCAGGCTAGACTGGGCTACATATATAATATGACCCTATGTTCAAAACAACATAAAAGTCAGGCCTGGTGGTACAGGACTATAATCTCAACTACTTGGGAGGCTGAGGCAGTAGGATCACAAGTCATCTTGGACTACAGAGTAAGTTTAATGCCAGCTCTGGCAACTTAATGAGACCCAGTCTCAGAAAGTAAAAAAGAGGGCTGGGGATATTGCCTGCCTTGCTTGATGTGTAAGGTTCAATCTCTGTACTATGAACAAAATAAGGAAACCATCAAGAAAAGCAAAACCACAAATTACAGGATGGAAGAAAATTTTCAAATTATGTTTCTTGCCTTTTTCTTTGCTATAGGACCTCAGGGATCCCAGGCTGGTGGGCCTCAAAGAG